GTTGAAGATGGTACCGTTGGGGCACAGGAAGGAGTCCTGTTGGCGCCTGAGGGCGCGGTCCTGGCAGATATGGAACACCTGGCAGCCGGCTTCAGCTGCAGTGTCGGCGTAATAACCTTGCACCGCCTGGGCATCGCAGGAGAAGCCGGTGTCGGGCACGGAAGCCAAGATGGGGTAGTCCTCGCCGGGGACGCCGCCCCCTGGAATGTTCTCACTCAGAGCGGCGATCTCAGGGTCTACTCCGTATCCGCCATTTGGCAGTCCATAGGAGTTGCTTGGTGCTGAGTAACCATTGCTTGGGGCACCGAAACCGTTTGAGGCTCCGTTCGCAGCTCCAAAGCCAAACCGTTTGAGAACCCTCCGTTCGGGGCTCCATAGGTATTGGATGGCGGTATATCTGCGGAGATTACGCTCACCAGACCTAAAAAAAAAAAAAAAAAGAAAGGCGAGGTTATGAATCTTAAATTCTGTCATCGTTCTTGAAGACCGCATGTATGCAAGTGTGTCTTTTAAACGCACTTACCACAAAGCAGTATTATTCTCATACTGATCTCGTTGAAGAGCACAACGCAAAATGGAAAAATGGAAAATGTGTCTGAAGGCGAGGAAAGGAGTGAGATGAAGTGAGCTTCTTTTGACTCGACTTTTATAGCCAGCGTCTGACTTAGCTCCGCCTTCTTTTCCACTCTCACTTTATTTCAGCAATTTCTTGGTTGTTTATTGAAATACAGCAACACATGTTGATCTCACGCTTTTATCGTAAAAAGAAAAGAAAAGAAAAGAAAGAAAAAATCCTTTGTTAGCTTAGTCATTCCTGTTATATTGCTGATATAAATACCTTGCATTATAGAAAAGTTTGCTCCAGTGTATGGCTGTGTATAGACGTCAGCGTATTTACATTTTTGTCTCTTTTTTCTGCGTGGGGAGATAATCATATAGCTAAAATTACTGAGAGGCGAAGTCACATTTAAACATGGACACACAAGAGAAATTAATTGTTCTAGAACATGGCGACTGATAACTGTGTAAGGTATAATAGTAAATCATGTCAACGAATGAAATGAACTTACAAATTTACTGAAAGGAGAACCTATAATGATCATAAAAATGTGATGACTGATCTTCTTTTACCTTTGCCGATGACGTTATATGTTTCTACTGATAAATAATAAATAAATAAATAAATAAATAAATAAATATATATATATTATATGTGTGTGTGTGTGTGTGTGTGTGTGTGTGTGTGTGGTGTGTGTGTGTATGCACACATATATACATCCATATAAATATATGATATATATTTTATATGTACATATATATAAACATAATATACATACACACATTACACACACACATACACACATATTCATTGTATCATATATATATATATATATATATATATATATATATATATATATATATATATATATATGTACACTGTATGTGTCAGTGTATCTGTGTGTTTGTGCATCCACCTTTACACTAATAATGTATGTCTAGTGTTTCTAGAAGTAGTTTTATATGCCCATCTCGGCCGTCTAAAGCAGTATGCCTTTGTAGGCGGATCAAAGGAAAGACGAAATGAGGACTGCCCTCATTTCGAGGCACGCCTTGTATAGGCGGCAAACGTGCCTAAACGTTTCATGATACGGTCATGAACTCATGGCTGAGACTTAGTCTAGATAGTCTTACTCATCAAAAAGGTTTCCATAGTCTGAAATGCTTAAATGATTTGCCCTTGAATATCTGCTACCTGTGAAGCATAGTCTACTCTTTATATCAAGATTCCTCGAAGATTTAGTGGAAGACCGAGAAAAGTGGCAATGATTAATCTGTGACTGAACAACTTCCGTTTGCACTAATGCGTAATCTCCCTTGTACTTTTGAAGGGGATCAAAGGGAACATGAAATGAGGCCTTGTATAGGAAGCAAACGCTTGCACTGTATGCCGTAATCCTTTCTTTAAAAATTCACTTCGTGACTGATATCTAATTTGACGATCTTGCCTATCAAAAAAGTTTACAGAGTCAGAAGCTCTTAAGTAATATGCCCTTAGAGATCCTTTACCATGGTGTATAACTATACTCTTTATATCGACTATTCATCGAGGGTTTGTGGAATTCCAAGAAGACCGGCGGTGATTGATCTGTGACTGACCAAGCAATGCAGTCAGCAGTGAAAGCCTCCGACTGTGGGCAGGTGAAGGATGCAAGTTGACCAAATATCAGGTTGGACTACGGAAGTAAATTCTGGTACTAATTTATATAATTTTGAAATATACTTCGGTGATTTCCTTTCAAAACTTTTATTGTATCTATCTATCTATCTATCTATCTATCTATCTATCTATCTATCTATCTATCTATCTATCTATTATTTATATATATATATATATATATATATTCCAAACAAGCTTCCTGAAGCACATTTACTTAATCAGACTTGTAAAACATAGTAGAAGACCTTAAAATTCTGATTGAAGTTAAGTGCATTATCTACC